TCGGGTGTCCTCAGAGCATAGGTGCAGTGACTTCAGGCCTGCCTTCGCTTGTTTTGACTTAATGCAAAATCTCTTTATTATCTCCACTACCTCGCCTGTTCTGAATTTAATGAGCTCTCTTCCTTTCTATATTGTTAAGGCTTATATAAAATTCAAAGCCTATGCATCTAATGCTGTAAACTTGCCAGTGAGTATTTTGGTGATGGACTCTCAATGTGTTTTTGATACAGTGTACTTTCATTTTCATTCAATTCAAAATTCTGATTCTTTTCTTAAGTCCTTTTTTAACCCAAGGGTTTATGTAAATTATTTTAAATTCCAAATATTTGAGGATTTTTCAGAGACCTTTCTTTTATTTGATTTTATTTTAGTCAGAGAATACATGAGTCAGTGTGAGACAGTTGTATGACTAGAGTCACTGTCACTTCACTGAGACTTATTTAAAATTCAGAATATTGTCTTTGGGATGAATGTTCCATGTGATCAAATAAAGGCTGACTTCTGCTAAGTCTTCAAGAGGACACTCCGTAAGACTTAATGTCAGTGAAATTAGCTGTCAGTGTCTCCAGATTTTCTATATGCATGTAGAAAATCACCACCATAGTTCTGTTCATTAATGACAAACGGGTTGGTTTTTTTTTAAATCACTGAATAGATGAGATTTTTAATTTCTCATTCTGTTTGATTAATTTTTGTTTTATACATTTAAGATTGCTTATTAGTTGTATGTATGTCTGGTACTAGTTCTTGCTTAATCTGATTATCATTATATGATTACTCTTAAACCTTCCTCACATTTTGACAAATGTTAGCCCTTACAGTTTAGAAATATTTTTTGCCCTTCATGTACAGAGGCTATTGTGGGATAGGCCTCCTCACTGACACCCACATTCAGGGGGTCTGGGTCAGTCCCATACTTTCCACACAGTCATCAATCTGGGGTCCAATAGCACCCCTTGTTCAGGGCAACAGTTTCTGTGGATTAAACCAGCCCAGTAGCCCAGTCTCAACTCCTTTGCTCATCAGGTCTCCCTTTACGTCACTGGATTCCAGAGGTTCAGTTCAGTGTTAAGCTGTGAGTGTCTGCCTCTGCTTCCATCAGTCGCTGGATAAAGGTTCTGTTTCCCAGACTCACTGGCAGTGGGATTGTATGCTGGCACTAAAATTTCAAGATTCCATTGTTTTTTTCTACTGAATAGTACTCCATTGTGCAAATGTACCACATTTTCTCTACCCACTCTTCAGTTGAGGGGCATCTAGGTTGCTTCCAGGTTCTGGCTATCACAAATAATGCTGCTGTGAACATAGTGGAACAGATGTCCTTGTTGCATGAATGTGCATCTTTTGGGTATATGCCTAAGAGTGGAATTTCTGGGTCTTGTGTGATTCCCATTTTCCTGAGTAATCTCCATACTGATTTCCAAAGTGGCTATACGAGTCGGCACTCCTACCAGTAGTGAAGGAGTGCTCCCCTTTCTCCACATCCTCTCCAGCATAAACTGTCATTGGAGTTTTTGATTTCAGCCATTCTGACAGGAGTAAGATGGTATCTCAGAGTTGTTTTGATTTGCATTTCCCGGATGTCTAGGGATGTTGAGCACTTTCTCAAGTGTCTCTCAGCCATTTTAGACCCCTCTGCTGAGAATTTTCTATTTAGTTCTAAATCCCACTTTTTGATTGGATCCTTTGGTATTTTGGAGACTACAAAGCTAGTTCCAGGACAGCCTCCAAAACAATACAGAGAAACCCTGTCTCGAAAAACCAAAAAAAAAAAAAAAAAAAAAAAAAACAAAATCAAAAAGAGTTTGCCATGTTTTTAAAAACGTGTCATTTTGCTTTTAAAAGAGCTTGTAACACTACATAGACTGAACAGGTTGTATTTAGGAATATATACATATATATATATACATATATACAAATATGCATGCAGTAACAACTAATGAAAGAAGAGGCCATGAATTTGAAGGAGAGTAGAGAGGGATATATGGGAAAGTTTGGAGGGAGGGAAGGGAAAGGAGAAATATTATAATTGTATTATAAACTCAATAAATAAAAATAAATAAAATAAAAAACTTGTACATAAATGAAAAGCATTATGAATTTTTAAATTTAACTTTAAGCTCATGGGTGCAAGTTTCTCAGCACTTACTAAATAATATAGATACCTGATTGGAAACATAGTATTTCTAAATCTCAAGCATAATACTATGTCTTTAGTCAGAAGTCTTATATATCTATTTCTTATTTTAGGAAAAGTGCATATAGTAAAAACATCACATTCAAATACTTTGAATGTTAGCATAATTGTTTGTATTTCTTGTCCAAGAAAATAATCCATTTCCATTTGTAGGAGAACACTGGCTGGTTAGTTCAAATTTCATTTTCTTTTCATTTGTTGAGTTCACCAATGAAGCCTGGATTGTATGCATGTTTATTAGTTCTCCTTAAAACTTGATTTCCTTTGACTCAGTTAAATAAAAACAAAAAAGTATGGCTCATACCAGTTTCTGGAATAATCTATTCAGGAGTTAAAATGAATAATTCTCTTTATAACTTGAAGTTTAATCTCATGAGACTTTTTACACAATCATTTGAACAAAATCTTTCACTGATGAGATAGAAATTACATGAACTAAAGAAAGCCTGAGTGAGACCCGATGTTGGTAGGGTACAGTGCTCCAAGGACACATTTTAAAATGAGGACCAGAGTCAGACTTGTCTTCTTTCACAAATTAAAATGAAAATACCAGTTAAACTGCTCTCCCAGAATTTAATAACATAGCATTAAATTAATAGACATTAATGGAAGTGTGAAGGGTTATTACATCAAAGAATGCCCAATAACAAACAAATTAGGTAGGGTTTTCATTTACCACTTTGCCATGACTTTGAGAACAAAGAGAAACAAATCAATATTGTTGCAGCTTAAGCATTTAGCATTCACTAGGACTCATTTGCCAAGCTCCCAGTCCGTACCCGATATGGTGTATTAAAGATGCTGGAAGCTACAGTCTTACTTTTCACATAATGTTTAATTTTATTGCCCAGGTGTAGTTCCACATCCCTGAGACTTTTAATGAATGAATAATTTAACATTATTTTAGAAGCCTCGGTTTTTGTTGCTTATTTCTGTGCACAACTTCTAGCAAAAGTATATGAAATGAATCCCAGCACATGAGACGATTATGCATTTGAAGCCAATCTAGGATCATGGATTGGGTACCAGTGATACCCTGTCCTAGAAGCAAAAACAACTACCACCAGCAACCTTTATTTTTACTTAATAATGGACCAGAGTTCCAGAGTAGTCATGTTTCTAGCTACTGCTATTGATCTTTTACTATGTCTGGCTTAAAAATAAAACTTACCATAGGTGTGTGTCTAGGCAAAAATATTGTGTTCAGTCTTTACTGTCCATGACTTGGGTACCAATAACACTCCTGGAACCTATCCTTCCAGCACAAAGGACCACTGTGAGTTCAGTACAGCCTGTGGGACCAACAGCATCAGTATTTCATGGTAACTTACTACAAATGCACATCCTTGAGGGTTCACCCTAGACCAACTGACTCAGAAACACTGCAAGGAGGCCCAGGTATATCTACCACAATAAGACCTTCAGGTAATTTTAATACCTGAACTTTAGAAATGAGTTCTGTTCCAAAATAAAAATGCAAAAAGAATTGGGTATGTTGCTCAGTGGTAGAGCACCTGCCTAGTATGTGCAAGGTCCTGGCTTCAGTCCCCAGAACCATGGAAAAAGGCAGGGTGTGGTGGCACACTCCTTTAATCCCAGGGTATGGTGGTACACTCCTTTAATCCCAGCGCTTAGGAGTCAGAGGCAGGTAGGTCTCTATGAGTTGGAAGCTAGCCTGGTCTACAAAGTGAGTTCTGGACTGTCAGAGCTACATAATAAGACAGAGCTACAAAAAGAGAGAAAGAAGGAAAAGAAAAATAACACAGTGTCCTTTCTTGTGCTGCTTTTCATCCTTTCTCTGTCTCTCTCCATAATCCATATATAAGTAAAACAAAAACAACATTCTGGTGCTTTTAGTTTCTTCACATGTTTATCATGTTTCTCTAGACTGTTGGGGCAGCCCTCAGAGCTGGGTTGCAAGAGTGACCCGTGTTCATTGATTGCATCACCTAGTTATGGTGCAGGTAGTCAACAGAAAACATCTCATTTCACTTACTTTAATTCTTCATTGCAGCTTTAAAAATCAACTGTTTTTGTTGTCCCCATTTTACAAGCAGGAAAGGTGAAGCAAAGACAAAAGGGTACCAGCCATTCCTGGCTGAGCCTTCTTGCTGCATTCTGACAGTGGCAAAGATTCTCTCTAGGACTTTTAAGGTCACCTCTCACAACCTACTTGTCTTCTAAAAGACTCTGGTTCCAAAAGCCATCATTGGGGAGGGGGTGGGGTGAACTTAAGAGTTGGGCACAGCCATTCAGACGTTTGCAGAGGTAAAGCAGGCAAAACCTGCTCATCCATGTGCTCACAACTCTCAACCAGTTACCATCTTCTACTACCTTTAGCCATAGAGATAGGGGCACCTGTAATCACATCAATTGGACCTGAAGATGGGGACAACAGGATTTCAGCTTCTAATTGAATATCAAGTGTGTGAATGTTATTCGTGGCAGCGAATGAAGAAGAAAGAAAAGATATGTCCGTTGCATAGCCCACCATGCTGGCTGGCATCCTTGTTTCTTCTAGGTCTTATGGCCATCACAATCATTTGTACATTGTGGTTGGGAAGGACAGGCTGGTTCTGAAGCCTGGGCGCCACTGTGAGTTGTTTAGCATGCCATGACATAATCTGCTAGGGGTTGAAGGCTGTGCTGAGGGATAAACATAAAGACCTTGGGTGTTTTTGCCTTTTTCTAGCAACCACGTATTAGCGATTCCCAAAGGACACAGAGTTGTTTTGAAAAGTCTCAGGGCTTGCATGTCTTCGTGCCCTCTGCCTCTGACGGTTCTTCCCCTCTCCCTTTCCAGTCCCAGCAGAAGTGCATTGTGGTCTTCGCCCTGGTCTGCTGCTTTGCCGTTCTGGTCGCGCTGATATTCTCAGCCGTGGACATCATGGGAGAAGATGAGGACGGACTCTCAGAGAAAAATTGCCAAAATAAATGTCGGTAAGAGGTAACAACCAAAAATTCTCTTTTAGGGGGTGGGTGAGAAAGTCAGGGAGGGGCCTGGACAGGGACAAGAGAAATGTCTGCTGGGCTCTGTTTTCATCGAGACTTAGCAGAGGCCTTCCTCCCTCTGCAGAGATTCCTGCATGTGTTAGGTCAGGCATTAAGCAAAATTAATGAGTTCATCCACTTAACAACCTGATCCTAGTCTATACAAAGAGCTGGTTAAACAAAGAAAATATCTGAGAGCCTGCATTACTGGAGACTTCTGTGTATGACGTTTTGATCCACTCCCTGATAAAGCCTAGGACATACAAGAGCTTGGATGGGCAGAGAATGGGTTCTAGTTGTTTATACAGTAGAAGTTAACACAGATGTCTCAGGGTACATTGTATCAGGTAAGAACAGGAGCTACCCCAGTCTGCCGGCCACGGCTTAGCACACAGTTGGTTGGTTGTTTATTCATTTTAATCTAGACTTCACAACAGCTTTAGTAACCACTTTGTATCACAGGGCATACCTTGAGGTTTCAGTAACTCAGTTATGTCTGGGATCCCATAAGATTCATTGTCTACTGGAAGATATTCGTATACACTGAGCTGTTCACATGGTGATAAAAATCAACTACAATGTGTTTCTCAGAGCATGTCTCCATCTTTGCATATATATGACTGCATTGTGCGACATCAGTTACATTATAGAGCATCTCCCTGGGAGTCTCCCTCACCTGTAGAGCCATCATGGCGTGGATTCAGCCTGAGAAGTCTCCTCTTCCACTCTTCTCTGAACTGTGACTTCTTACATTTTGTATGTATGTATGTATGTATGTGCATATACATTGCGAGTGTGTGTGTGTGTGTGCATTTGTAAATATGTGGACACATGTCCCAGAGATTTCAAGTGGAGTTCAGAGAACAACCTACAAGAGTTGATTCTATCCTTCCAGTGAGTGAACTCAGGTTCTGAGGTTCTGCAGCAAGCCCATTTACCCACTGAACCATTTTGCTTTTTAAATTTTGACGTTGGGTATTGAAATAGAAACATACCAAGAAGCAGCTGTTGCCGACGTCAAGCTAGAAAACATGAGTGCTCATACTGATGTAAAAACTACAGTTACACTCATGCTCAGCTCTCCTTCACAATGGCTATCAGAATTTTGTGGCCTCAGTTCAGCTTTACAGTGACTGCTAAAAAGAGGTCATGTGGACAGCAGCGTGGTAATGGGTACACACACAGTACCCTGGATATTTCGCCTTGAAGTTGAATATTCTAGCATAAGAAATGCTCTGAAAAAGCAACGAATTTCCCTCTCCCCAACCTTTGATCCATTGCAATCTAGTTACCAGGCAATTAGTACTCTATGCAGAGCTAAGAACACAAGAAATAACCGCCCAGTTTGGCTTTTTATCCTCAATATTAGAAATGTGTGCCGTAAGTACATTTCTTTATTGGGCTAATAGGAAAAGAGTTGAGCTGGATCATTATTTAAAAGCAATAGAGCAATAGCACATGTCTTCTGCTGTTTGTAACATGTCAAATAAGAGCACCAGTGGACTAGGGGCCAGGGATGGACAAGTAGCTGCTGAGTGGAAGCACTGTGCTTTCCTCTTCCACCCCACTCCGCAGTGGAGACCCCTCACTACTTTAAGTGTCAATCCCAGTCTCTAGAAAGACATTGTACCAATTTCTAGGTGGTGTAGCACTGAGTCCACAGATTTTAGATACCTAGTTATCAAGATAGAAAACAGTACCAGAGTCAAATTCCAAAGTCATGGGCTAAAAGGAAATTATTTTGTTGTTTTTCTGTTTTTGTTTTGTTTTTTGCTTCTATGTTTTGGGTTTTGGTGGTGGTGGTGGTGGTGGTGGTAGTGTGTGTGTGTGTGTGTGTGTGTGTGTGTGTGTGTGTGTGTGTGTGTTGACAGAATGAAACAGGAAAAGAAACGTCTTTGCTGTGGGAATGTAGACTCTGGTTACTACATAGCTACATGACATAACCATCTAGTAACCATCCTTGTAGATGATCATATCTTTCGGAACTTTCTGTCCCCTCAAATATTTCCTCTACAGCCTTCTTCCCATGGCCTGCATTTCTATTTCTTTTCTGCATTGTCAGCCATCTTGTTTCTTTTGTGGATCTGACAAGGAGCATCTTGCTCCCCACCCCACCCCATCCACTGGGAGGTCTCTGCTTCCCCTCCTCTCTCCGGTGCATGGGAGTAAGAGGGAGGGTCCCTGTGAGGCCTTATACCTGGATTTAGTTCCCCCATCTTATACCTGGATTTGGTTCCCCAACCAATGTTCCACCATCTTTTCTGATCATTCCTACTTGAATGTCATGAATTTCCTTACAGCATTTATTCCCCCTTTCATGTTACCGTAGGTGACATCACCTTCTGACTTTGGTGGTTTGCTTCTACTTTTGTGTCTAATAGACCTCCCCACCATCAGGCTCATCCTTCACCAACATCTTTAGTAACTCCAAAATGTCCTACCCCAGCTTAGCCTCACCATTAGTTAGCCTATACCTCTCTTCTGTGCCTGCCTGCCTGCCAGCAAAGTAACCTCTTCAAGTTAAGAAAATGCAGGGAATGACCAAGACTTTAAAATAATAAAGATCTGGACCTAAACTGAACTCTCTGGGTTCTGTTTGCTTGGGTTCAAAATTAAATCTCTCATCTACTGAGAGAAACCCCACGAGACTCAGCAAGGAGCTCTGAGGAGATTTGGTGAGTTTTTTACAACAGACCATGGCCGGAACTACAGTGGGCATGTCCAAGGCATGTGGAGAGTGACCTGACACAGTGCAAAAAAGGATGTCTGTCCTCATTATTAAGCTGATTATAGTCTCAATTTCCTTAAAAATGACAGAAATTATCAAAACTTGCCCTACAAGGTCTACATGGATTCAGTGAGTTGTCTAAATCCATGGCAAAGCAATGAGGAATGTAACACAGTATAAAAATGTTGATTCTCTCCCTGTTTGTTCCAAAGACTCCAGAAATCCCTCACTTCTGTGTTCCCTGCAATGAGAAATGTAACACACAGTATAAAAATGTTGATTCTCTCCTTGTTTGTTCTAAAGACTCCAGAAATCCCTCACTTCTGTGTTCCCTACTAACCTCTCACTTCCGGCTTGCCATGAATCAATATTTTAGTCTTTGGTTCTGTGGAAATACATGAGTATCCACCTCATGGGAGCACAGGGTACATTCAGACAGTCAGAGCTTACTGTAGCAAGGGTGTCAAACCCAGCACTCTGTTTTCCAGAGATTTTTGGGGCAGACATAGCAGTGGGAGGAAGGTGGCTGGAGCCTCTCAAGGGGAGGCTGCCTATGTGGGGCAGCACCAGTTGGCCAGCTTGAGTTGTGACTGTTTAGAGAGAGCGTGCCTGGCTTTCTCTGGTTGGCCCTGAATCTAAAGTAAGGATAAAAATCAGGAAAACTGGAGTGACTCACTAATTCCTAGCCACTGGGGCCATGATCATCTAAAGTATTGTTTAGCTGCCTGCACAGTGGCTGGAGATAGCAGCCTCACTTCCTGCAGGCCTGACCTGGTTGGTTTCCTGGGCAAGTTGCTACAAGATATGGCCAGAGTTGAGTTGTGTTCTCACTATGCAATGGCTGCTATCCCTTTGTATATTCAGTCTTCATCCTACCAACTTCCCCTGTACGTATCTATCCCTTTTAAGTGTTCATTTGTTTGTTTGTTTCAGCTTTTTAAGAAAGGATCTTACACAGCCTCATCTGGCCTTGCCCTCCTAGCTTTCCTGCCTGTGCCTCCCAAGCACATGCACTACCACACTGGCTAGGCGCTTCTGATTTAATCGCCCTAGCCTTCTGCTAGACCACAATGTACGCTTCTCCATGCTTCCTCCAGCATCAAGAGTGGCTTGCCTCCTTGAAGCATGCTATTTGTTTTTTTTACCTGGTCCTCCCATCCTTGTCCTCAGAGTGTTTGAGCTGGATGTGTTGTAGCTCTTTTTCCTCCAGGCACAGATGCTGGTAGTAAAAATGACCAGGCTGTTCCAGCAGATAAGCCCCTGAGTTCCTGAGACTGATGCAGCCCAGCAGGAGGAAATGCTCTGGTCTGCAGGTGCTCCCCAGAAGGTCCACATCAGCTTCCCCCTCTGACTTATTCAGGCTCCCCCTCTCCCCACCTCATCCCTCCTCTGGCTCTTTTCAGACTTCACCTATGGTGGCACTCATTGTGTCAAGTGAAGTGACACTACAACCCATAGCTGTAATCTCACAGAGGTACAGTCTCTCTGTAGTCTTCTCTACTCTTGGTAGTGTTACCAGAAACAGAGCCATGTGCCCAGTGCAACCTTTGCTGAGATCTGTTACTTACAAATTAAACTGCCTATGCTTGTCTGTCTGCTCACTCCTGAAGGTTGAAAGCAGCCTGGCGGCTGGCAGCTCTCTTCTCCGTGTTTTGACAGCCTCTCCCCAAGTTCTTCACGTCCCGTGCTCGTCCCCAAATATCTCCCTGTAATTTGTCTTGTTCGGCTCACTAGCCCATCTGTCCTGTAATGGATCTCCAGTCTGAATCTCACACTGCTCAGTCAGCTGTCCCAACTCTTATACTTTTGTTAATGTATCTCGCCGTGATCCGTTCTGTCTGCCTTGCTTTATTTCTGTGTCCCACGGCTTACTTTTCTGATGTGTGACTGCTATACTAACAGGAGATAATCATACACTCACCCATCATTCCTCGTAGATCTATAAAATGCAGATTGTTCAAAACCTGTCCTCACCATACCTTTAAGTTTGAAGATGGAATCTTGCTGCATTTCCCAGGCAGCTTATTCTTGTGGTTGGGTTCGCATCCCTCTGCTGCTTGTCTCTTTTGAGACTTTCCTCTTGTAAGGACATCTGCCTTCTTGTCATCTCAGCACTCCTGGTCCAGAATCGCAGTCCAATTTGTTTATTTGTATTTTCCTACTTCCTACTTCCTACACACAATTGGTTTGCATGGCCAATTCTTTTGTGGCAACTTTGGCT